GTATTTGATATATAATACGTTAGAAATTTTAAATTTTATACATATGGGCTATCGTCAATAGAAATAAGGCAGATTGTCATCCAAAAAATGTCTGAAGATAGTATAAGTTTAATAAAAAAAAGATATGAATACAGTTTTCAAAATTTCTATACAAAGATTGCCATAAAAGAAACTGCTGAATACCTTAATCCTCGTAAATCCTATCGTAAAGGCATACATGAGAATGATAAAAAATTTGACATTGAAAATTTTATCTCGATATTTTATAAATATAAAAATGTAATTGACTTTATTAAAAACAACAAAAAAGAATTAGAGAATTTTACCTTGGCAACCATGGCTCAAGATGGGGTTATATTTTAGGAAACGATTTATGCCGAGTTTATGAATTCTAATCATAATGAATTAGATGATTACTTGAGAGATAAATTACAGCAAATGAAGCTTACGCGAGAAGGATTTAAAACTAGAATCAAACATTTAAATTATGATAATGTTAATTCATATATCATTAATCGAGAATCATATAGATCATTGCTATTAAAAGATCAAGTTTTTAACAAAGAAAATTTTGTTTCTGTTTATTACCCATATTGTGATACCATAGAAAGATTTATTAAAACTGACATAGAAACATTAGTGTTACTCATTGATCATTATAAAAATTTTGATGGAATATGTTTTATCGAAAAAGAATTATATACAAAGTAAATATAGAATATTTTTATTGTTTATAACAAAATAAATAATACCTTTATCATTTGTAAATGTAACCCGCTCCAGTAATATATACCAAGTGTCCCGAAAGTTCCTATACATGGACTCTTTTTTTTAAATGTTGTATAAATAATCATCGTGATCTCTATAAATAAGGTCATTTTTTAAAAAAAGGGACCATATATAGGAACTTTTGGGACACCCAGTATAATTTAAAGCAACCTAGTAGTTTTGATTGTGCAACTGCACAAAAGTGCTGAACATTAATAATAGTATCTTTTTTAGAATTATCTGTAGTCTTGTTGGATCTAATTGTTCTAAATTACAGTAATTAAGCCAAAAATTAAAAAAAAAATTGAATAAAAGTAATACTCATTTTCTACAATACAAAAGTAAGACAGGAACAACATCGGCATCAGATCAATATAAATTTTTAATAGAAAAATTTGACGATTAAATTGAATTTAATGAATTAATACTGATAAAAAGGTATCTAGCTAAAGGGGTTTAAATTAGGTTGTTTGCAAGAAAACTTAATAAATTCACAAAATTTTCAAGCTTTACCTGAAAAAATTAAAGTTAATATAGGGTTGCGAACTATTAGTTTATTCAAAAACTCAGTTTACGGATCACATCATAAAGCCAATAAAAAGAGACAAGCTTTTTTTTTTTTACTAAAATAAAATTCACGTCATTTAATGGCAATTTATAATATTCTTTCTAACCTTAACCTTAAACTTGCTGATTTTCTTATTCTTATCACATTTTTTTTTATTGTATATGTTTGTCAATTCTATTATAAATATTTTACGTGTTCTAGTAAATTACCCGGACCATTGCCTCTTCCTTTTATAGAATGTAGTTATTTGTTAACAGGTAATAGTAAACAGATGTTGATGTCACTCCAAGAAAAATATGAAGACATCTGTGAATTTTACCTTACCGGCTCATGAAGAATTATGATTTCGCGCCCTGAATATATTGAAAAAAATTTAACACCCTCAACTAAAGACACAACATTCATGTTAAGGTTTCCATATTTTGAAGGACTTGAAGAACTTGGAGTGGCTGGAAAAGGCATAATTTCAAATCATGATATAAAAAGTTGGAAATTTAACCGTCAATTCTTTGACAATGCTGTTTTAAAACCAAGTTTTAATAGCGAAGCTGTAGAATGGTCTAATATATTGACTCAAGAATTAGAAAAATATTGGGAAAATCTTGGAGAATTAATCTCATCAAGTAATAAATGGTCATTTAAAATGGATATAACGAAATGGGCTCATAAATTTACGTGTGACATGATATCAATTGTAATCACCGGAGAAATATCTTATTTGATGGATTCCTATTATAATGTTCATAGTCCCGTTAAAGTAAAATTTGAAACAGTGATTGAAGATTCTGAAAGATTTATTCAAGGATTTAAAAAGCACCTTTCCAGATTTATATATTTTCTATATTTTAACCCATTCTATGTCATCATGTTCCATTCATCAAAGATCAGGTTAAAGAAACACTTAAAAATCGGGATTACTTGTTTGAAATATTAGATTCAATGATTAAGAAGAGAAGGAAAGAAATTGAAGAGATCCCAGTAGAAACTGAATTAAGGAATGATATGTTGACATCTTTAATTATTACTAATACAGGAAGAGATATTAATCGTATAAATATTGCCAGGGATAATATCTTTAGACCGATGACAGACGTTGAAATAAGAGCTAATTTACTTGATTCTTTCCAAGGTGGTATTGACACTATAAGTAATTAATAATATTTGAATTATAATTAATAATTTTTATTAATTGTTTATGATAAAAAATTTTAGATAGCAAATACATTCAGTTTTATAGTCTACTATATCTGTCAACATCCTCATGTTAAACAAAAAATGATTGATGAAATAGACTCAATATTTACAACAAATGCTTTTTTTTTATCTGAAATATGAAGATCTTTTAAAACTAGAATATTGTAATGCGATCATCAATGAGGTTAGCTAGCTTCACCCAATTGTAATTGAACTCCAAAGATGTGTTAAAAATCCTTACGAAATAGCTGGATATCGATTTGAAGCTGAAACAGTGATTCATATAAATACTAATGGTATTCATACGTATAAAGATCATTGGCCCAATCCTGAAATTTTTGATCCAGATTGATTTTATAAAAAAAATGAAAGCAAAGATATGAATAATAAAGTAAGGCATAAATTCTCATTATTAATATTTGATGGTGGTTTACATATCTGCCCTGGAAGAAGATTAGCAATTATTGAATTACTTTCATTAATGGTAATATTATTTGGGAAATATGATGTTGAGTTAGTTGATATGAATGCTCCGTTAAAGGTGAAAAGTACTGCAACAACTACTTGTAAAGAGTTGCCAATTAAAATTAAGCCTAGAAAATAGATATATATATATATATTTTGTAAAGTACAATAAAAACTTGATTTTTTTTTTTTTGAAGCATTCCTATATTGTGGTGTGATCCTTTTTCAAATCACATCTTGTTAGCAAATTTTACATATAAAAAATGTCTCTTAAAGAAAACCAATTTATTAAACATGATTTATTTGAATTTAAATTACAAGGAAAATTGCCAAAACTTTAAGATTTTTCAATTGGATTTTTTACATATGCCTAATTGAATTTAATATTACAAATTTAAACAATTTCTAACACAAAATTTGATTAAAATTTGTTGCAATATCGTTAGAAAAATGGGTTCAATTACTTCACAGTGATAAATCGTTTGAATTTCTGAGTGAGAAAATTTCACCATCATATAATAAATTAAAGAATCATTAAAGATTCAGTAATTTAATAAACAATTAAAACAGTAAATTAATTTTATTAAGTTGCTTGATTTGATCAAGGTAATATAATTTGCACAATGCTAAAAACTTTATTTATTCTGACCCTTTTACTTGCTTTGCTCAATCATAATGTTTAATGATATTAATCCAAAAGAAACCGTAAATGTTTCTTTAGTTTATCTTTTGCAATTACAGCATCTTGCAATACAATCCATTGAAAAGAAGCACCATGATTTTTTGGTGAAAAATAATGGTAATGAGGAGCTTTCTAAACTGCCAAAAACTTCAGAGAAGTCTTC